CCCCTCCTGTCTGCTCTGCATTTCCCAGCCTCCTTTGTTGGACCCCCTGTGCTCCTCTTGTCATCACTCCCTCTTCTCAGGACTCTTTCCATCATCCCACACCTGCCCCCCCAGTCTCATCTTCTGCCCACTTTGTTTACCTCCCCACCCAGGCCTCTCTGCCTCCCCCAGCTTCAGCACATGGTAGAAGCCCTATGATTTGAGTTGGGGTGGATCCAGGGAGTCAGGAGGATGGGGCATATCTGAGTCTGTGAGAAGCCAGGGGCCTCTGTGCCCTGACCTCCCTCTAAAGGCAATCTGCATCTTGGCCTCTCTTTTCTTTCCTCTGCCACACTTCTCTTATTTTTCCCCAGATTCTCATTCTGCCAACCACCCCTGTCCCAGCTCCGTTCTCAGCGAACACATCACCAGGTTTATCATCAGATGTATTTCCTGAGTAATGCCCAGCAGCAGGGGTGCTGCCATACCCTTCTCCCTGTAACTGTCACCCACAGAGCTGCTCTGCCCAGCCACCCACCTCCTAACGAGAGCTCAGCTAGGCTTCGCCTCGGCCTCCCAGCCCTTTCCTGTAAATGCACTCAGAGCCAGGAGGGGTGCCATATTAAATCAAGAATGATGAAAACCAGTGGCTGCGATTATCCAGCCGAGATGCAGCATAGGGAGCTGGTCGCTGCTGGCTCCAGGTGAGGGCTTCTGAAGCTAATTGCATGTGGCTTTTATTAAGAAGATGATCACTCTCCACTCCTGCTCTCCTGGTGGCTTCCACCCAGTGTCCTCTGCTTCTGAAGGCTGGGTCACCTACCCTGTCCCCTCCTCTACTGGAACCCTGTCAAAGCAGATCCTTGACCTCATTCCCTATAGCCTTCCTTCCCATTTCCTCAGGAAGCCAGGAGCAACAGTAGCCCACATTCATGGACCCTTACCAAGGGCCTTCTCTCTCCTCCCAAAGAGAATACATGCAGACCAAGTGGTTTCCTTCCCTAGGTTCCTCCACTGGTTAGCTCTCCACAACCTGAACTCATAGCTCACACTATTAGAAAGTCATTCATTCATTCAGCATTTTTTTGGGGGGGGCTGCCTGAGTCTTCATTGCTGCATGTGAGCTTTCTCTAGTTGCAGCAAGTGGGAGCTACTCTTCATTGCTTGTGTGGGCTTCTCATTGTGGTGGCTTTTCTTGTTGTGGAGCATGGGCTTCAGTTGTTGTGGTGCACAGGCTTCCCTTGGCATGTGGAGTCTTCCCAGACCAGGGATCAAACCCTTGTACCCTGCATTGGAAGGTAGATTCTTAACCACTGGACCACCAGGGAAGTCCTCAACATATATTTTTAATGTAAGCTCTGTGCTAAGCATAAACAGTCCGGTCCAGTTTCAGAAGTTTCTCTGAAGAGCTATATAGGGCTCCAGGCGTAGAGGGGGTTGTACTCGAATCAAGGTGTGCTCAAATTTAGGCCATAGGTTGACTCTTTCCCGGTACTATTTAGAGAGCTCCTGAGAAACTTGATGCTCACCCCCATAGAAGTCCAGAACCCTTTCCCATTGCTCAAGAAAATAATAAGAATACTAAGATAACCTAAAATCATGACACTGAAGAAGAGTTACAAAAGGTAGAAATGTTGCCCTGGAGAAGACTCAGGGAGGCCATGATGGTGGTACCCAAACCAACAGAGTGGTGGGGAAACTTCTGTTAAGCTTTGCCTGCAGCAAAGGAAAAAGAGGTGTGTTTAGTGAGGCCCCACAAACCGATGGGTGGAAAGCACCTAGAGGAGGAATTCTCTACCATGTAAGGAAAATTGACAGGCACAGCTAAGACACCCCAGGCAGTGGAGGTGTCCTGAGAACTCAGTTGGTGTTGAGACTGCCCGGCAGACTCAGGGTTCCTGGGGAGAAGCCTCAGGAACCACACTGGGTCCATGGGGGCATCCTAATGGACTTGACTCCTGGCTTCTGCTTAAGCCAGAGCACTTCTTCCCCTTATTGGTGGGGCTCCATGCAGATAAAATTAGTTCTAGCACCAAAACAAAAACAAAGGCACTGGGTTAGAAAATTAGTTATCAAAATGCAGTAAAGAAGAAGTTAGCAAAGTTTATCAAAGGCCTACACAGGCCAGATACTATGTTGGCCACTGAGTCTCTCACACAGCTACTTCTGCATATACATTCGCTGTGTGCCAGAGACCTGTCCAGTGCTTCATATGCATCATCTCACTTAATTCTCACCAGCATCCCACAAGGATCCTATGAGGTAGGTATGAGTACCATTGCCATGCTGGAGATGAGGAACTGAAATTCAGGGAGTTGAATTAACCTCCCCAAGGTGAGCTTACTATTAAGTAGATTTGTTGTTGTTGTTGTTTAGTCACTAAGTCATGTCCAATCTTTTTTGACCCCATGAACTGTAGCCCTCCAGGCTCCTCTGTCCATGAGATTTCCCAGGCAAGATTACTGGAGTGGGTTACCATTCCATTCTCCAGAGGATCTTCCCGACCCAGGGATCAAACCAATGTCTCCTGCATTGGCAGGTGGATTCTTTACCACTGAGCCACCTGGGAAGCCCAAGTAGATTAGGTGAGGTTTAAATTCAGGTCTTTCTGGAGCAAAGCTGGCTTCTTTCTGCCACACGATGTGCCTGACTATGAGCCAGAAAGGTGTCAAACTTAATATAGGGACTGCTGTAAGAATTCAGTGAGACACTACACAGAAAGTTCTGAGTACCATGCCTGGCACACAGCAGCCATCTCACAGACGGCAGTCACCTCATTCACTTGGCAACACAAATTGAATCCTTCTGTGAGCAAGGCCCTGTGCTAGGTGCTGGAGTTGCAGGGATGAATAGAGCATGGTCTTTGTCACTACTTCCTCATGTGTGGAGTAAAGAGACAGAAACAGGCAGTTAAATAAGTGCTCTGGAGGTGCCAGGGAAACAGGCTTTTTAGTCAATTTGGTACTTAAGCTGATATCACTTAGAGGTGGGTGGGAATAGAGAAGACTTACGTGCTGAGGGAGCAGTGTGAACAAAAGGCCCAGAGGTGGGAGTACCCATCCCTGAGGGGAAGTGACCTAACAAACCGACCTCACAAACTCTCAGAGGCCAGGTTCCTTCTGCATCCTGCCTGGCTGCAAGCGGGCCAGGCCGCTGGCTGGTGCTGTACCGGCCTGCATGTACGCATCTCTTCATCGGAGCCTCTCAGCCCAGTGGACCCAAGTGCTGAGAGGGGCTGGGTGGACAAGGAGGAGGAGGAGGCAGATATATGGCTGGAGTCAGCAGAGCCAGGTGATGTATGTGGTGCCTGAGGGAGCTGCACAGTGACGTGCTGGATTCCAACCGGCAAGCATCGCTCCGCTGGGATCGGTGCCGAATTATTGCTCCATATGAAACCCCAGGACTGATGGGAGCTTTCAGTTACAGACTGATAGCAACAGCCAAAATTGGATTGTTTGCTATTTATTTTTTTTAACTTCTGTCAAGGTCACTACCATAACAGGAAAACACTGCCCAAGTAGCAGGTATTTTTCATCCACTCTGCCCACAAGAGCAATCTGTAGCCACAACTTTTCTGACAAGGCCTTACCTTGGCAGCTCGCTTTCTAGAAAGCTGTCAGTGTTACAGGAGCCCTAGGGAAGAGAAGCCCCCGGAAGACCTGGATCTTTCTGTCTTACTTTAAGACCTGCTTCCTGCCCCTAGCGCCTGGCCTCCATCGACGCTTTATCATCAGACCCATGCACTCACCCCCCAACCCAGTCTCCAAATAGTCCCACAGCTCCCAACTAGCCGAGTACTCCAGCTCCTTCAAGCCTCTCATCTCCCAGAAATGTTTTATGCTTGATGTATCCTTCCCTTCTCTGTACTCCTACACCACCCAATCTAGCTGTTAATTCCTCTTTGTATTTGTCATCAACTTCATTTTTGTAAACATTCACCAGCTGCCTCCACTGTGCCAGGACCCATGCCAGAAATAGCAGTGAGTAAAATGGGGCTCATAATTGATTGTAAGACACAATCACAAATATGCAGCAAACTCATTTTGAAATAACTATTTTCAGTGATAGGTACAGGGCTAGATGTAGGCACACATGCTTTAAAACCACAAGGGAAACGGCTGATCCTGCCTGAGAAGTATTCATGTACATACAGACCCTGCCTCACCTCCCTTGCCTGACTTAGAGCTCTTTAAAGGCAAGACCTGGCTCTTCTCCCCTCCCTTTCAGTGGGACAAAGCTCAAGCCTCCTGCTTCTGTCTTTTCTGAAATGAACCAAGCCAGAGGCCAGACACTTGCCAGGCACTCAGCATGATCTAAGCCTGCCAGGGGCCAGTCTTCCTCTTTGCCCCTTCCCCACCTTTCCATTATGGCATGCACAGTGCCAGGAATATAGCAATTGCTGAGTAGTTGTGTTTAATTGAAAAGTGCAGTATCATTGACTTGGAGGGTGTTCATAGCTCTGGTTTGAAAACCAAAAATGGTTTTCAAGAGGGTAAGCAGAAAAGGAAAGGAACCTAGATATTTATAAGCACTTAGTGCTTACCAGTCATAGCACTAGACACATTCTGTATCCAGCATCATATTTAATCCCCAATTTACAGAGGAGAAAACTGAGCATAGTAACTTGCTCCAGGTAATCACATCTTATAAGTGAGAGAGCTGGGATTCAAACCAAGTCTTCTGTCAGACTCCAGACTCAAGAGTTAATCTATTGAATTGGCAAAAAAGTTCATAAGGTCTTATGGAAAAACCATAAGGATCATTGGCCAACCCAGTACTAGCGGTACTTATTTTACTAGCAGGGCAAGCCAGGACCCCTGAGCAGTGGCCACCAAGGTAGGGAAATGATGTGAGGACTCAGACGAGGGACTGGGAAAAGAATGAGCCAGAGCTGTCCATCAGAACCCCCAGAGACCCAGACCTCTGCTTTTTCCCCCTTGGCTGGGGGGATAGAATGAAACTAGGGTCCTCCTGGGTCCGGTGCTCCTGAGCCGCCTTCCATCTCTCGTCTCTCTCCACAGTACCAAGAGAAGCAGCGGAAGCGGGAGGCCGAGGAGCGGCGCCGCTTTCCCCTGGAGCAGCGGCTGAAGGAGCACATCATTGGCCAAGAGAGCGCCATCGCCACCGTGGGTGCAGGTGAGTACATGGGCACCGAAGAGGGCCTAGAAGTTTGTGGTCTGCTGCAGTGAGGTGTGGTCCTGCCATCTCCAAGCTGAGGAGAAGGGGCTATTATTATTACAGCATAGCATTTGTGGAGTACTTCCTGTGTACCAGGCAGTGTTCTAAGCTCTTTGCACATGCCATGTCATTTAATCCTTACAACAGTCCTTTGAGGTTGGTCCCATTGAATGCCCATGTTACAGATGAGGAAGTTGAGGCAGAACACTTTAGTAACTTGCTCAAGGCTTCTTTCCATGCTTTGAATTTAACTCTGACCTTCATCTGATCTACTGACCCCACCCTACCCCCACTTTGCAGGTGGAGAAACTGAGACCCAGAGAGGAACAAGAGCTTTCCTATCACTAGTATTGTCATAACTGAGCCAGAACTAGAACTTTGGTCACCTGTCTCCCAGCGGGGACTGTGCCATCTTTCAATATAATTTGTCGGAGGCTGGCTCAATTTTATGGAAAACATCCTGTACAAGTCTTGAGTGCCTTCTTCTCCACCTCAGAAGCGCTTCTGCCACCTTGCAATCTAGACTACCTGCTGGTGTCACCCCTCATCTCCTGACCTTCCTGCCCCTGCACTTCCCAGTGGAGAGAGAGAAAACTGGAGTTGTGCTCAGGATGGTGGCCTCACCATTGTTCTCCCGACATGCATGACTCCCTGAGGATAACCTCAAGACAGATGAGGCAAGGGCAAGGGAACCCTATTTCTGGCTTAGACAAGGGAGTGGCAGAACCAAGGCAGTGGTTCTCAAAGTGGTCGCTGCACCAGCAGCATCAGCATTCTCTGGGAACTTGTTAGAATGTAGATATGATCCCAGACCTGTGGGATCAGGAGCTCTGGCGATGGACCAGAAGTCTACATTCTGAGAGGCCCTTCAGGTGAGCTGATGCCCGGCTCAGGTTTAAAAACCTCGTCCCTGTGATGTCTTAGTCAGGTGCATCCAGTGCTGCCTCTCATCCCACCAGGTGCAGCCCAGCAGCTGCCACGCCCAGCACCAAGTTCTGCTCACCTGTAAAAGGAGACATGAAGCTGAAATTGTGGAGTCCCAGAGGAGTCTTGAACAGTGTGACACCCTGTATCACACTGGGCCCAGCCTGTCTCCATCATCCTCACACACCAGTGGGACTCGTGTTCAGGTCATAACCTGACCATCAGCAGTTACAAGGAGCCCATAGACCAGATCTGCCTCAGCAGCTGGAGGGCAGAGGCTACCTGCAGGCACACCCAGGAGCCAGGGAAAGCTTCTATGAAGACACATGTCCCCACTACTCAGGCCCAAATCTCATCAGGCTGCCCTTTTGAGTCTGAATACAGACAGACTCAGCTTGGAGGTGGCAACCCCCCACTTCTTTGTCAAGGCCATGCCTGAGGTAAAAGGAGAGGAGACCTTGGGATCTTTTGGGTTGAAGAGAGGAGGAGGAACCCACTGGAGACATCAGTGACCGAGCCGAGGCCTGAGAAGCAGGTCCGCTAGAGTTTCATGTCCACTTGGGCCAAAAGTATAGCTGCCATCATAGTATTTACCCTCCGCTTCTTATACAGTCATTTCCTCACATGTTGCCCACTCCTCTGATCTCCTGTTTCTCACCAGCTTCTCAAGCCCATAAGTTGTGAGACTCCCAGAAGTTAGGGGAGGGAGGAGGACATTAAAGTGAGAAGAATTCAGTCAACCAGGGCTCAAATGGCAGGTGGGCCACTTATCAGCTATGCAACTCGGGCTGGTCACTCAGTTTCTTTGAGCATCAGTTTCCTCACCTTTGTACCAGGGATCCAAACTCAGGACTCTAGGACTGTAAGGCATATGCTGTTTCTAGTATGTACCAGACAGTTCTCAATGAAACCCAGTCCCCCTCCTCTAGATGTTTACTGTCCAGCGTTGGGCACTGTGCTCCATAGGTCAGGCCCACAGTTGTTTCCTTCAATCCGAGACTGATCCCTATTCCCAGCCCCAGACTGGCCTCTTCCCCTGGTCCTTCTCCTTGTCTCTCCCTGCCGCCAACCCGGCGCAGTAGAGGGTTCCACTCCCCACCTCCTTAGGGCTGTCAGAATGTCTGCCAAGTGCCTTGTCCTACCCATAGCTCCGTCTGTCACCCACACTCTGCCTCAGATCTGAAATGCTCTGCTCCTTGTCCTGTGGTGTGTAGGGTGACCCTGCTATGCCTCCAGTGCTGCTGGGAAAGACGCAGAGGGCGTGGGGGCCTGGGCTGTGGGGTTAGTACATTCCCTTCCATTTGTAAGGGCCCACCTTGCTAGAAGCCCTGCAGCCAGGGATCACACTCATAACATTCAGAGTGTGTTCAGCTTCCAGCTCCCGTGAGCATGAGGCACTCTCTGGGTCGGAATCTGTGGCAGGGCCTTAGGACTGAAGCAGGTGCAGGACAGCGGGGCAGATCTAGAGGGCAGTCCAGGGTGCTCCCTGGGTCCTCTCAGCTAGTGTCAGATGTGTGCTGGCTGGGTGGATCCTGGCACCCCAGAGGTAGCATGAGGGTGGGCAGCCAAAGAAGTGCCTCAGAATGAATTGATTTGATAAATGGCCATTTATTACCCTCACGAATTGGCTGAAACCAATTTCGGTCACATCAACCCCTGGTAAGTGCTGGGATATTGATTTGTGCAAAGTAATACAGTGAATTTATCAGTGTGATCCCCAGCTGCAGGGCTTCTAGCAAGGCTGGCGCACAGTTACAGCCTTACAAATGGAGGAGATGAAGCACCGACCCCATAGCCCAGGTCCCCATGGCCTCTCTGGTCTTCTCAGGTCACTGGAGCCAAAGCAGGGCCAACGTGCAGACCACAAGCCAGAGCACTGACATCGAGTGTGAGGTTCTCCTTCCAGAATCCTGAGCTGTTCTTGATCATGGGGAAGGGGAGGATGCCTGTTCTAGTGGGAGCTCAGAGCCTCTGTGCCCACCATCCTCAGAAAGGCAGCCAGCTGTCTGTTCAGGTCTAGACTCTGCTCCCCTCCTCCACCCCTTCACCTCCCATGGTCCTGTCTCAGTAAAGGCCCCACCATTCCCTGGTCTCCTGAGTAGAAGCTTAGATGTTTCCTTGGCCCTTCCTTCCCCTTACAGCCCTTCAAGTTTTATCATTCTACCTCTTAAATAGATCTCACACCTAGCCTCTCCCCTCCATTCCTAATACCACCAAGGGCCTCCAGCTCAGGACCTCAGTGTCTCCTGTCCGAACCTCATGGTGGTCTCCTTGTTGGTCTCTCTGCCTCCTTTTCTTCCCCTATAATCACTTCCCCCTAGCTGGAGTCAGCTTTGTACAGTATAAAAACAAAACAAAAAACCCTGTGTAAAATTCTTGAGTGACTGCCCTGGCCTGGCATTAGAGCCCACCCCTGCTGCCCTCCCCCACTTCCCCAGCTGCCCCCCTCGCCCCGACTGCACACAATGGCTACTTCTGCCGCCCTGCACATGCTGCGTTGATCTCCTGCCTATATTTGTGGATGCTGCCCTCTCTGCTTGAAACGTCCTTTCTTCTGGCCCCTTCCCCACCCTAGCCCTGCCCGTCTCCTACCCTCGGGCTAGTTTTTATATTTCAGGAGCAATAGACTCCTGAGGGCAGAGACCCTGACTGAATCATTTTTGTTTTCCCAGTTCCTGGCACAGCCCTCTAATCAAGGTAGATGCTTAGTGCAGTTTGTCACATTAATTACTTTGGTTATGGCCCCTTGTCCATCTCTGTGATGTGCTCTGAGGAAAGAAGAAAAGCTGTTAAGCCTGCTTCCTAGTTGTTCACAAGCACACTAAGAATGTGAGTGTAGCAAAATCGTTGTTTACAACACCCGTGCTAGTCAGCCTTTGACCCTTTGAGGGGATATCCCATTCCCCGGACCTGCTCCAAGAAGCCTCTTCTGGGCAACCTGCACCCATGGAGGCTTCCCAGTGGCTCCCTCTGACCAGAGGCCTATGCCCGAAGCCCATTGCATCTGGTCCCCATTGACTCTGAAGCCTATGAACTCCCCAGGGAAGCTCTACCACCTTGACCACTCTTCTAAGCCTGGGTCTGACCCGAATTCAGAACCTTAATATCACCCATATACACACAGTTGGTACACCATCCTATCTCATACTCCACCTCCCTCTTTGACTAATCCAGAAATGTAATCTTCCTGAGTGCTGCAGCTAGCTTTCTGGACCCTCCCTTGGAGTCCTGTTTGTAATCTGAGAAATAGATCCAGATCATCCCTGAGTTGTAGAGAGGTAGTGATTAATTTAGAAAACTTATTGGTTTTGTTTTTTTTTTTTTAATTTAGAAAACTTCTTAAGTTCCACCTCCCCACTTCAGGAGTCCCTCCGTGCCCCTGCTCTTCTTATTGTCTGGACTGCTCTGCCCTTCTGCTCGCCTGCCAGGACCTGACCCATGCCTTATCCAGGAAGCTTTCCTTAACTCTCCACCTGGTGCAGGGCCTTTCTGTGCGCTTCCTGTGGACACTTTTTTGTTGCACTTACCACGTAGCGTCAGTTTGTATGTCTTTCTCCCTGCAAAAGTCAGAAACTACCTCTCTTTCAGGTCTGTTTCCCCAGAGTTGGCACGCAGGTATGTAAAAGGTTGTTGAACCCAAGTAAACTCAGATGAACAAAGTCTAAACACATCTTGAGGTTCTGCCTCTCCTGAGCACAGATTCTGATTTCAACCTCTTTCTGGAAGGGTGTCAGTCTTCCCTCCAGTGGTCCCTAACCTTAACCTAACCATAGCCTGCGAGGCGCTCACACACAGTGGGTGGGCTCAACAAAAGCTATTTGCAATTTTAGTACGTTAACTCCTTGGTAGCAATAGTTTGCCTTCAGAAAGAATGCTCCTGACGGACTAAAAAGAGAGCTTTTCTCTTATCATCCACCAAACCCAGGGTGCCAGAAGCAGGCACTTGCTGAGCTATGCCCCTTGAACCTGTAAGCTTAGACAGAAGATACTAATAGACATTTAGGTGACTGAACTGTGGAATTCCTCTGAAGGATAAGTTCCCCTAGGAGGTGGCACAAGCATGGGGCAGACTGTTCCAGGTTAGATTAAAAAAAAATCTGCTGCATCAGTAGAACTTATCAGGAGAGATGAGTCAGCCTACCCAGACTCCCCCAAAACCTTGAGCTAGATGGAGGCAAAGGCCTGGCATGGGAGGAGGAGGCAGTTCTTTTGTTTCACTTGAGTTTTGTACACACAGGAGCTTTCCTCCTGGAATGTGCCATCATATCCTGGCTACCTAGCCATCTCCCCCTTGTGCTTCAGCCCCAAGTCACAGTCAGAAACAAATGGTGTTTCCCATGCTTTTCATAGTACTCCATACCACTTGGCACGCAGTTTTCAAAGCAGCATTCACCCAAGAGGTGCAGACCTGTTTTCGGTTTCTTTGTAGGTGACACAGAGCTTTTTTGCTGAACAAATGGATAAGGCTCCCTGGAGGGAAGTTAAAAAGAGAATGGAAACCTTCTTTACCCAAGGGTAATAGTAACCACTTGGAGCCGGAAGAGACTCTTGGGTCCAGGCATCACTCTTCCCTGTAAAATGGGAGCTGAAGTATCTGTTCTTTGCCCCTTGTGATTCCAGGAAGACTAACAATTAATTCATTGAGTCAGCACATATTATACCAGTGTTTTGCAAAAGTCCCTCAGGAAATAGGCCTAAGACATGCACCCACGAAATACACAATCAAATCGGGACTTACCCTCCCCCTGTTATGAGGGTGCAGACAGATGAAACCGTCCCGTTGTCCCTCTCTGAACCTAGCCTCTTCCAATGTAACATGGAGAGATAATGCTTACTTCTCTGAAGTATTGTAAGGATGAAAGGGCTCTCTGTAAAATAGCATGTAAATCTCTCTAAAAAGCTAATGGCTGTGCCCCCACTGCTGCTATGACTACCGTTATTTTTATTCTTATTCTTCTTCTTTTTTTTTTCTTGCAACTTAACAAATCACTTTCATAACCATTAACTCATTTTAATCTTCACGAGGGGCCACCTGAGCAGGTATGGCTAGTCCCATTTTAGAGATGAAGAAACCAAGCTTCTAAAGGAGTAAGTGTTTTGCTCAAAGTCAACTAATAAGTGACAGAGCCGGGACCCCAAACTAGATCCTGTAGCTCCTGCCCTCCCCACCGCACCACCCCATCGATGAACATGGGGTGATATGTGATACGATGTGATATGGAGTAAGCCAGAAGAGTTGTTGCAGGTGAGATGTAGGATGAATGGTCATGGTCCACATGGCCAGAAGAACCCAGCAAGGGGACCCTGTCACTGGTCCAGCGTATGGAGAGGCTGCCAAGCCTGTTGGAGCCCCAGAGATGGGACTGGCCAGGTGGCCTAAGCTTCCTGCTCAGGGGACCTTGAGACCATCTCAAGCGCAGAGAGCACTGGTCAAGAGATGGTCAGGGCTCCTGAGACCACGTATGGAGTGACTGAGGCAGCCAGACTGAAAGACTGCAGAGGAGCAACTTTCCAGGTGAGGTGAGGGAATGAGGAAGTGCTGTGTGGGAAACAGCCCACTCCTCCCTCTAAACTCCTGAATCACCAGTTCAGGTTCAAGAGCTGGCCAGCATGAGGGGTAAAGCCCAGGTTCATTATTTACCTGCGTAATCTTGAGCAGGTCACCTCATGTCTTTACATGTATGATCTCATCTGTAAAATGGGAATCAAGTTACGTGCCCTGCCTGACTCGTGGGTTTGTAACCAGCCTCAAATGAAGTTATGTCTACAGAAGTTCTTTATAGGCTCTGAAGTGCTAGCAGAGGAAGCTGCTGCATTTGCTTGTCCGCAGTGAGAGCACGAATATCTGTGGCCACATCCCAAATGGACCCAGCCAGGTCTCTGTCCCAGCCTCTGCCCCAGCGTGACAGGACCCTAAGGTTCCCAGCCTTAGCCCTCAGCCGCCCTGCCAACCACACACCCGGAGCCCCACCTTCTTCAGTCTTCCCTAGCTACTTTCATTTTTCATTGTCGGACACCATCTGCTTGGCCGTTTTTCTCTTCAGATATTATTAGAAATATCCAGAGTTGTAATTGTTTAATGGTTGGCATTTTGCCTGTTTCACGGGGGGCCCAGATCGAGCCCACCCCAGACTCATGCCCTGAGTCCGGCAGAATTGACCAGGGACAGCTGTGCAGTGGAGTCTGCTTGGCATTATAAAGAGCTCTCTCCCAGGTGCGTTATTAGAAAAGAAGGGGGGAAAGATGGCCCCAGGCGTAATCCAATTCCATGTTCTCCATGGTGTTTTTGAACTGCTTAGCACAGAGGCATGTAGCTCTTGGTGGGCTGGGAAGCTTCGTAAAAGAGAAGTCAAGATCAGAACCCCAGGTTCATGACACCTGGGGAACCTCTCTCCCCGGGCTCCCCATTTGAGTGATGCCTGGGTACTTTGGCCTCCCCAGATACCCCCATGAAAGCTGAATCCAGTTTATGCCCAGCTTCTTTCAAACCTAGATTCTCAACTTAGCCAACTTCTGGAAAAGTGTGACTCCTTTCAGATAACCCCCCATTCTCACCGTTACCTCAGCACACATCCTACACATATATTCACAGAAGTCTAGCCTTTGTCATTTTATAGGTCTCTACCTCCCCAAACACCCTCACCCACAGAGTGTTGCTTCTGTCAGATCATTGGGGCCTCCCCTCTCGCCAGGCTGGGGCTTCTTTGTCCTCATGCCTAGCCTTCGGGTACCTGCGAAGCCTGTGGGTTCCCCTCATGGCCAGTCTTCGAGAGGACCAAGCCAGTCAGTTTAGAGATGATCTGAGCCTAACCCAAGGGAGAGGTTAGACTGAGTGGTTTCTCAGACTCCTCTCAGAAATCTCAGGGAGAGAATCCCGGGCAGGCAGAGTGGCTTGTCTGGTGTTCACGAGGTTGTAGTTTCTGTTTCTTCTGAGGCCAGAACTAGAAAGTATCTTAGGAAGAAGCATTAGAGATTGAGGTGAGAAAGCCCGCAGTGTGGACCTGAACTCCTGAGACAGGCATTCGAGACCTCTGTGGTCTGATCCCGCCCACAGCTACTCATGTTCATTCCTGTCCCCCACCCCCACCTCTGTCATGCTGCCACCTCTGCCCCTCCAGATCCTGCCCAGTCTGATCTGTCATCAGTTCCACTTCTTCTGAAAACCTTCCCCGACCTCTCCAGCCACTTCTATGAAACCCAGCCACACATATCATACCACACAGTATATAGTGTGTAGGATCTTTGCACCTCAAACTGAAGACACTTCCCTAAGACTGTCAACTCCTACTCCATTGACTTGGTTTCCAGGCCTTGTCCTCCGACATATATCCCTTTGCTCATCTCCCCTCAGCACTCTGAGGAGCAGATCGTATATGCTGTTCCATCTGCAGGCCGACCTTGACATTGTGCAGTGCTCTCCCCTTCCTGCTTCTGACTGCATGTTTCCATTTATGCAACCCAAATTAATCCCACTTTTTGCAACCATATGTGACCAAAATAGAAGACAGGTTTAGCAATGCAACTCTACCATCTCCACCAGTCAGCTGGTAATCTACTAGTTATGTGACTTGGGTAGATATCTTTATCTCTTGTTTCAGATTCCTGTTCAATCTGATGGAGTTGAAAATAATATTTTCCACTCAGGGTTATCTCTATGGGTCTTGGGTAATAAAATGTTGGTGATTTTTCCATTGGGCCTAGGAGATGACATGTTTAATAAATGATTCTTCGGATGGTTCTGCCTCATTCTGCTCCTTACTCTTAGACTTGGGTGATGCTTCTGAGCCTGGTTCTCCTACCCTGTATGACATGCAGAGCCCTGGATTATATATTTCCTCCTGGAGAGGCAAGGTCAGCTCTTACTGTAGCAGAGCTGAGCCCCAAGGAACTTGGTACATGTCTGTTCCCCTCCTGCACCTCTGTCCAGTGGAGGCCATGGTTTGTGGAGGTGCTATCAAGTGGCTCACCTTTCCTTGCCCTTAGCTCCACAGTACCCTTGACTGGCTTCCAGAAAGTGCATTTGGCTGTATTTCCTAACAGCAGACCTTACTTACCCCAAATGGGAAAGAGTTCACAGCTCACACCCCCAGTCCCTGAGGCCCTGCCATGGGCTTCTACCTCTCCCATTAGCATAGGGGCAGACTCAGCCGCCAACCAGTTGTGAGTAGATGGGTTACCAGCCGAGAGCTAAGTTCCTCTCCAATTCTCCTTCACCAGCCCCCACCCCGTTCACCTCCATTCACCATCCACCAGCCTTTCAGTTTCCCTGGCAACGCTGAGTGCTCATCCTGGAAAACTTTATCCGAAATCTGCTCTGGGCAGCTTTCCAAATCCATGCTAACCTGATTAGGTGTCTCTAGGGGCCTTGCCAGCTAATCAGATTAGGCAGCACTAATGGTAGTGAGGACTTTGAGTGGGCGCAGAGCAGTAAAACATATTGTATACTTAGTGATAATTATCCTGCCTTTTGTGTCATTGATTTATCTGCCTCCCTCCCTGTCCTCCCGTCTTGTGTGTTTGGCCATAGCGATCCGGAGGAAGGAGAATGGCTGGTACGACGAAGAACACCCCTTGGTCTTCCTCTTCTTGGGATCATCTGGAATAGGTAACAGGGAGTAGATCAGCCTATGGGGAGGAGAACTGAGGAGCCCCAGCTGCTATGGGCCAGAGTCACACGACCCTCCTCTAGTTCAACTCCAGCTCCCAAAACAACTGCCTTCAAATTTCAGAGCCAGCAGAGGATTACAGAGGATCATCTGTCACATTGGAACAGCTGGAATTATGCCTCTCCCTCTGGAAGCTGTGGTGCAGGGCCTGATTCACCAGGAGGGCCAGGCCCTTGGGGGCCTGTTAGTCCTGGTCCAGCCACTCTGCAACCCCAGAGGCTGCCCTGTAGGAATAATTGAACCATTTCCACTGCCCAGGGCACCAGCCTTATCTAGTGTAGCCTGGGCCAGAACCCTCTAGAAAGCTAAAGAAAGCCACTGGTGGTCAGCACAGTGCTAAATGCATAGCAGAACTGGTTGCGTAAAATGGGTTGAGGATTTTTATAGCCAGTTGGGCTGGATTATCTGAAGTGTTCTTACCCTCTTACTCTCCACCTTCACAGTCCCACCATCACTGCCCTCCCATTGTCTTTATGGGGAATTACATGCATCTGTTGCTTCCTCTTCCCCCCTCAGCATCTTCATGGATGCTGCTTCTGATGTAGGGTCCCAAAGGGTTACCATCACTTCACACTATACCATAGAACTTGACCCATACTAGACAGGCAGTGACTTCCAAAGACTTGACCATCAAACCAAATGGCCCTTCAGAGTCATCACTTTGGTATCGTCATCCTTTCTTTATTTTACAAAGAAAAGCTGTAAAGCCAGGGAGGGGTGGTTTCTATCCTCTCCTAACCTCTGTTTGGCCTCTGGCTCCAGGGCCTAGCTTGGATGGCAAGACCATGGATGTCCAGAGAGAGACAGTACAATGAGCCAGGAAATCAAGGTGCTTCTAGGAAAAGCAAGGTTTGTGCTGGGATTCAAAGAACAAGATGACTCTGGATTGTATGAGTCAACCTCCCACTTTTAGATGCTACTGTAGAGAAAAAGCTTCAGTCCCCATCCACAGAAAAATCAAGATACAATGCAGGCTTTGATTCTGGTCCCAGATTTACTATCAGTTTTCCCTTGGTGACTTTGAGAGTCACCCTTTCTGAGCCTCAGTGTTCCCTTCCATAACATGTATTATTTCCAGCATCCATGCATTTCTAATATTCTTTCATTCCAGGAGAGTGTCATCTCCTAACCCAATACTTCTCTTTTCCTTCTACTAGGAAAAACAGAACTGGCCAAGCAGACAGCCAAATATATGCACAAAGATGCCAAAAAGGTAAGGGCTGGAACCTAGGCGCAGTTAGCAGGCCATGGAGAGCTCACCACTCCATCCCACAAGTGCCCATCCCCTTGTTCAGACTCTGGCTTTCCAAGACCTGCTCAGTTTGACTTCCTAAGGCTGACAAGAAATTGTTTCACACAGAGAAAGATGTCAGAGCAGTCCTTGGAGACTGCAGAAACATTTCAACTTAAAACCAGACATTTCTCTTCCTCCTAGCTTCCCAGTCTGGAGGCATCGCAGGTTGCCCACGACTCTGGGTGCCCTTGCCTAATTTCTGTGGAAAGCCTCCCCAGCTGAGGCAATAAGGAACTGCCCAAATTTCTGCCAGCAACAGAGTCCTGGCCAACTCCTGTCCTGCTGTGGCCCGGCTTCCCCTTAACCACCTCTCTGAGGGCCTGGCAGCCACAGAAAACAAGGTAGCTGAGGCCATGTCCTCCTGAGCTGCATCCATGGCCCCTTCTGCTGACTCTGCCAGTAGCTATGAGCTGCCTCAACCAAAGGGGCAGACCCACTCGACAGGCAGGCAGGCAAGAAGCAGTGCACGGCATGCTAATACACGCCAACCGAAATGGCGTTTTTAGGACAATTCATCAGGTTGGCAGCGATTGAAACAATTAGCACTCTGGGAAGGGCCATAAACTAGTGCAACTATTAGGGAAGATGTAGTTACGGGCAGGAACCACCTGATTAGGGATGAAGAATTCTGAGTGGTTTAATTTTAATACTGTCAGAAAGGTTAATATTTAATTACAAATTATAATCTCCTTATCCAAGCTGTCTAATACGTCTTCATAAACAGTGGAAGTAGAAGGAAAGTATCTGCTGACTTGCTGATGTAGAAAGGAGAGAGGGCTTGATAAAAGATAGATGATGCAAGTGTTTTCTCAGTTGGAGCATCTAAACGAGAGGCAGATTTCAACTTGTGAAGGGTGTCCTGAAAGCTGACGATGGCATCCTTCAGTGCATGCCTCACCTAGGAGACGGAAGTACCACCCTCTCCCCTTGGAGATAGTGGGCTGGGTGATCCAGGCTCTGGAGTCAGCCATTCCTTGGCGCAGGTTCTACTGGCCGTAGGCAGGTTGCTTTACCCCTCCCAAGTTTCAACTGTTGCCTCAAAGTGAAGCTAATCAGTCCTGTGTCTAAGGTTATTGTGCGCATCAAGTGAGATACTGTGAATCACAGTAAGCTCAGGCTCTAACACCCATCAAGTACCTGATCCCTTGTCTCATATTTATCCATCACTCCATTCTTTCACAGCACTCCCATCTACTGTCTTATTTGATCTTACAAGGAAAATAGCTTAAATGCCAAATTAGAACCACTTTTCAGATGAGAAAACTTGAGACCCTGCAATGTTAAGGGCCCAAGATCACCTGTTAGGGGAAGAAGTAAAACGAGAATCCAATCTGTCAGCTGTTCTCTCAATACCGTTGTTCTCTGTTGCAAAAGAAGACTACATTATAAATTTGTCCTTTTTGTCCTCATGTCACATAGAGAGATGAGGAGCATGAGAAGCCCAATATAATCATCCATGTATTTTATTTTTAAATCATAGTTGGTACTTTAATAAAACTCTTACCTTCACCAGCCCTGTGGATCAGTTCATTACAACATCTGTGTTTAGCAGACATTCTCTGGTCATGTAACAAGCATGTTTGAGATGTGCCTTTATAATCTGAGGGTTCTGAACTGTAAGCTGTCTAACCAGGATACCTGATGTTGCCAGGATCCAAGGACTGATGTGTGGGGAGTGTCGTATACAGGGCCCAGTGTAAAGGAGGGTTCACTCAATGAACAAGCACTGGCCTGGGAGTCGTTGACTTGAATTCAAGCTCTGGCTTTCTGTACCTTAGTTTCCTCATTTGAAGAGAGTCACTGATACCTCCAGACTTGGCTACCTCACAAAGATTTGTTTGTACTTTTTTCTTATTTTGGCAACACCACACAGCATATGGGATATTTGTTCCCTGACCAGGAATTGATCCCATGCCCCCCTGCAGTGGATACATGAAGTCTTAACCACTGGACTGCCAGAGAAATCCCTGTTTGCACATTTTTAGAATTTCTTTATCAGACCTCCTATGAGCTTTTTTTTTTTTCCTCTCTTTAACCTCCACTGTTTTTCCCAAATTGAGCAGCTTTGTTAACTTCCATTATTAGAGTTAATAATCCTTGAGAAAAAAGCCTTAACGGCATCCTGTGATTTCATCCTGAGGTAGAGTGGTGGAGCCCTAAAGACCACAGTTAATAGCATCAGTACAATGAAGGGATCAAGAAGAGCAGGGATCTGAGTTCAGCTGTAAACTACTCTGTGGAGTTGGCTGAGATCTCTGTTTATATCCATTTCCTCATCTGTAAATTGGGTTCAATAATGGTACCTATCTCACTGGATTATCATGAAGGTTAAGTGAGATAATGATGTAAAATGCTGTACACTATTCTTGGCACATTAGTAAGCAATCAATACATGTTGGATACTATTGTTATTATTGTTGCCTCACGTCTAGATAACCCTCAGCTAAGATCATGTGAAACCAAAATTATTCCAGCTAAAAAAATCAAGCCCTGAGATTTGTTCAGAGTTACTTAGCAAATCAGTAAAAGGACTTAATAACTTGACATAAGAGTAAGTAATCACTGAAGTCTATACTACCTGTTATCATAGGACAGTGACTGACCCTGGTCCTGTGCACAAAACTCAGAACCCTTAAGATGAAGATGCCAAAAGCCCAGCTGATTGAGGGAGAGGGAAATTTGAGGCAATAGAGCATAGAGGCTAAGAGCACAGACTTGGAGCCAGATTGTCGGTTTGAGACCCTGGGCAAATTACTTTAATCCATGACTCAGTCTTCTCATCTGTAAGGTGGGGATGGTAATAGTACTTATCTCTTAGACTTACCCTTTATAGCTTGCTTAGAATATCACCAGGCACATAGTAAGCACCCAGTTAGTGTCAGCTGTTATCAGATGCTCATCTCGTGGCTTCCAGCCCATTGCTCCATTTGGGCAGCACTCCCAGCTTCCCCATGTCTGTCTTCCTACCCTCCCTGAAGCCTGTGTCTCTCTTGGCCGAGCTGCCTGGGGCCCTGTGAAGATGCTTAATTACTTGCCAGTGCTTCATGCTTGATAGCAGTGATCACCCCATGTGGCCTTAAGAACTTCTCCGGGGTCTTTCCCACCTCTTGGGTTAGGGCCTCTCCTCAGGTAAAACAGGGAGAGGATGTAGGGCGAAGCAGCAGCAGCTCTAAAAGGGGAGGCAGCCTGGTCAAGGCCACAGACGGTGGAGAATTGGGGTGGGAAGCTGAGTCCAGGGCTTTCTGCCACCCTGGACCTCAGGTGCAGACTGACAGGACAGAGAAAACTAGAATACTTCACAGACTGAATTTCTGACCAGCAGCTGAACTAGAATATGGCCTGCATTTCAGATATAGCCATTAATACCTCCCTCTCAGGTCTTGGCACCCCCTGTTCCTCAGCTCTCAGGAGAAGTTTAGTCAGTGGGTGCCAGTAGGAGAGGAGCCTGAGGAGTCTCTGGGGAACCCTTATCTGGGTGGAGAGACAGGGCATCTCTGAATGCCCTTATAACACCCCAAGTCCCTGAGTTCTTCATGAAAAGGAGTGGGCATTTTGCTTGTGTTAACTCGCAAATCCTGCTCTAGGCAGTGTTCTGTCCCTGGGGCTAATTATGGTAGGGCCTCACCCAGGAGGCCACCTCCCTGGAAATCACCCCTAGGCCCAACCATGGAGAGAGAAGGGCTGCAAGCAATGTTGTGGAGAGCTCTTAAATGACGTGAAAATGTGTAAATAAATCAGATTTATTAGTTTAAAAGAAAAATAAACTAGAGTGTAGAGAAAAGGGAACCCTCCTTTGTTGATGATGGAAATGTAAATTCATGCAACCACTCTGGAAAACAGTATGGAGAGTCTTAAAAAAAAAACAACAACAACAACACTAGAGTTATATAATCCAGCAGTCCTACTCCTGGGCATATATCTAGAGATGATGAAAATTCTAATTCAAAAAGATACATGCACCCCAGTGTTCACAGCAGCACTGTTCACAATAGTCAGGACATGGTAAAGAAGATGTAGTATGGGTGTGGGTGTGGTGTAATGGAATATTATTAAGCCATCAAAAAGAATGAAATAATGCCATTTGCAGCAACATGGATGGACCTAGAAATTATCAAACTATGTAAAGTAAGTCAGAGAAAGACAAAAATCATGTGACATCATTTATATGGGAGGCCTAAAAAGTGATACAAATGACCTTATTTACACAATAGAAATAGAGTCACAGACAGGAAAGAAACTTGTAGTTACTGAAGGGGAAATGGTGAGGGGATAAATTAACAGTTTGGAATTAACAGATATATACTATGTATAAAAAAGATAAACAACAAGGACCTACTGTATAGCACAGGGAACTATATTCAATATCTTGTAATAACCTATAATGGGAAAGAATCTGAAAAAGAATATATATATGTGTTTGTGTATAGGTATAACTGAATCATTTTGCGGTACCCTTGAAACTAACAGCTTTGCAAATCAACTACACTCTGAAAAATAAAACTAAAACAAAGGGACTTGTGCCCATGTAGACATGCAGAGTGGAGGGCACCATGGAGCTGTCTGGTTGTTTGTTGCTCCCCTCCATCTCGTCATGGTCCACGCTGGTGGTGGCTGACTTTGTCTACATCAGCCTGTCCTGCTCCGGTGCTCCTGGAGGACAGACGTAGCTCCAGTGCTCAGCACACACAGAACCCCCTCAGGAAATGTGTGATAAGTGGATGATGTGGTGCTCAGGCCTGGTAGAAGCCTGAAAAAAGAGACTTTCCGTGCCATTTTAAGGGCAGGGACGTGACCTGGGTTTATTAAGGTAGGGAGTGAGGGAATCATTTAGGGGATGAGTGGGCAGAAAAGGAGACAGGGAGCCAGAAAATACTGTGTCATGAGAATGGGATAGAAAATATTGGCTTGGTGTGTGGCTTGAAAGCCTGGAAGATATTTGAGGTGCTCTCTTCCTTAGCCCTTCCTTCTGCCTTCCTGCCTTCAAATGGACTACTGCTTGTTTCCACACAGGGTTTCATCAGGCTAGACATGTCTGAGTTCCAGGAGCGGCATGAGGTAAGTGAGAGTCCTTGGTGAAGTGTGGTTTGGAGAGCCTGTCAACATGACTCTGCCTGGGTATTTTGATGTGACTTGTCATTCAGGCCTGAGATAATTACAGCAGCCTTGGAATTTGTCCTTTTGGGACATATGTATGCAGTGGGGTCCCTGATCTGTTTTGCATAGGATTTGCTCTGAAGAATAAACACAGAAGAGATCCATCTGCTTTCCTATCACAGTAGGATTCCTTCCACCCCAAGAGATAACCTCACCTTGTTGAAACAGGCAGTCTTAACAGTATACAAAGCCAGCTTATCGTGCATGCCCCATATTGGAAACTGAAAGAATGGAAAGGCCTTCCTAACTTAATTCTTTTCTTCCACCAGGTGGCCAAGTTCATCGGGTCCCCACCAGGCTACATTGGCCACGAGGAGGGTGGCCAGCTGACCAAGAAGCTGAAGCAGTGCCCCAATGCCGTGGTGCTCTTTGATGAGGTAGACAAAGCCCACCCAGATGTACTCACCATCATGCTGCAGCTGTTCGATGAGGTGAGAATCAGTTTGGGCTGGGTTTGGGTGGAGGACACCTGTAGGTGTGAGGGGATGAGCAGCAGTACCTGTGGGCCTGGAGTCAGTAGTTTGTCAAGTTCCTGCTTCCTCATATGTACATTCAGTCAGTTAGCAGATGTGGCTTCACCCCTTCTCTGGACCAGTGCCCAGACTGGGCACTCCAGGAAAAACAAGCACGGCCCAAAAGTTGAAATGTTGTGGCTGCCCAGGGTCCTTTTTAAAGAGACAGAATGGGGCAGAAGTGCCAGGAGAGAGTGAGACCCAAATTTTAGTTAGTTCCAGCTCTGCTCCATCTCTAGGAACCTTATGTGAAAAACAGGGAGGCTAGATCCAGTAAGCTCCAAGAATCTTTCTGACTCAGACGGCTCCTGCTTCTTCCTTCTGTCATCTTCACCAGTTCTTTAAAATGTTAGTAATGTGCTGTCTGTGACCATGGCAGTGATGATGGAATGGTGGTGCCCTGGCTTATGGAGCACGCTTCTCCTGAACAGCTCCTGGCTCATCACAAACAAGAACAGTCTCCCTCTCAACTGACCAAGTGAGCTCTAGATGAGAACAGCTTCCTTTTATTCAGCACAGTCTATATAGTAGGCTTGTGCTAAAGACTTTACAGACATTATTGTTAATGATCACAATAGCCATGCAAGGTAGAAACCTTTTTTAACAGATGTAGAAACAAGAGGTTGTAAATGACTTGCCCAAGGCGACAGAGCTACTGTACAGAGGAGCCAGAAATGGTCTCAAGATACATGTGGTCCCAGAGCCCAGGTCTCCCCTCTGTACCTCTCCTTATCTTGAGCAGGGGAGGGAGAGCTTACTGTCAGGGGAGGGGCTGACATCCACCTGTTCCAGGTGAGGCCTCCCTTCTGCTCCCATGCAGAAGCTGTATTAGCCAGCACACGGGCAGACCGAGTCAAGCCCGCCTTTCCACTCAGCCCCATCCAGCCCTGGGAAAATGGAAAGGGGTTTGCTTCCCGAAACGTCACAGGTGCACTGATGAGATACAGGAATGGATACCCTTGGACCAAACAGCACACCAGGTACCAAGCCAGCCAGAGTCAGATCCAAATGTCCCCACAGCTGCCCACTCACTGCCTTCCTCTCTGAGCCCAGCATCCTTGGCTGCCCCAGTTTTATTGCCCTCTTCCTAGGCTCTTATCTGCTCCCTATCCTGAGAACTCCTACTGAGGAATGAAGGCCAGTCCTTCAAAGGTCACATATTCTGTTTCCCGCACCTGTGCTCTGAGACTCCCCCCACTCCATTCTAGACTGTTAATGGGATTCAGGTACATAGCTTATGGACCAGACCCAAACCTGCCCTCTGGGAGCTCCCTGCCTATCAGGTAGAAAGGAGATGCGATAAAGTTGACATTTTTGTTATGTGCAAGGCACTATTTTATCAACTCCTTTAATCTTCCCAATAACCATATGAAGATAGTCATTATTACTGCCTTAGTGTGACAAATGTAGAAACTGAGATAAAGTGAGATAACTGATTCATCCATGGTCACACAGTTGGGAAGAGGAAATTGAGGGTTTTAGGCATTCTAGTTCTAGAGCCCACAGCTTAAATAAAACCCCCAGACACCTAGTCTCTCTCCAGGCATTCTCAGAGCCCACAGCACCAGGAGAAACACCCCGTCGACTAATTTAATTCATAGGGTTGGCAGTAGATACCTCGTGTGCAGGCGCAGAGAGGCGTGAGGCAGCATGCTCCATCCGGAGGACTACAGCCTTTCAGTAACTGCCCAACTGCAGGGGGAAGGTGAGAACAGAATAGTGGAGGTAGATGAGTGAGAGAGACAGGGGCAGATTAGAATGCCAGGCAAAGGAGTGTGGATTTATTTGCTGGAGAGTAAGAAGCCTTCAAAGAGAAAAGGCAAGAGAAAAGCGTGATCAAGTTTTCCTTTTATAAAGCTCCTATAGGCAGCAGTGAGCAAATGGACTAGAAGGAAGAAGAGGGACCAGTGATGAGACTGTGAAAGAGTCCAAGTGAGGGCTGAGGAGACCTGCGCTACAGCAGGGCCATTGGATAGAGAGAACTCCCAAGTGAGGAGACAGGGAGGGGACAAGGGTGACCAGCGGAAGCGTCTCTGGTCTAGTGACCCATGGATTCTGCTGCTATCAGCTGAGGCAGGGAACATAGCTGGGTGAGCAACAGATTGAGGAAGGTGAGGAGCTAAGGTTTGGGAGTATTGAAAATGAAATGCCTGGGATACAGCCAGATGGAGATGTCCAGGAAGTTGCTTGTCCGAAGTGCAAGAGAGGTCTGCACTGGAAGTAGACTCGGGAGTGCTTCAGCACGGAGACAGTAACAGAAACCACAGAAATGGACGAGATCTCTCCCCGGTGAGTCTGGTAAGCAGAGAAGAGCCTTGCAACCTCTCCGCAAAGACCCAGAGAGGGAGTTGCCAGAGAGTAGGAGGCAAACGAGGAGAGCGTGGTTCAGTGCAGGCAGGGCAGAGGGGACACAGGCAGAACAGACACAGCCCCTGCCTCAGTGCTCGGGAGTGAGGGGGAGACGGGCAGCAAAAAACAGTTCGGCCACTGTGGTGAGTGCTGCCCTAGGATCAGTAGGACTAAGGGGCAAAGAGAAGCATGCCCCCCCACCCGAGATCCACCCATCCCAGATCTCCCAAGCTTAGGCCCAGAAAAACGGGAGCCCTAGCAAAGCTCTCACCAAGCAGAGCTAATGCAGGTCACTTCCCAGTTGACCCCAGACTATAGCACAGGGCAGAAGTCCCAGGAAGTCCACCTTCTGCTCCTCCCTTCAAGGACAGAAACGGGGCTGGTGGGGGAGCAGCCCCTGTGACTCTGCAGTGAGCATTCACGTCTCACTCCAGCTGGGAGGCGGGTCAGCCCCAGCTCCCTCTTTGGGACACATTTTATTGCCAAGAACTCTGAGGAGGAGGTGCAAACACTGAAAGTCACCCTTGGGTCAGTCATGCACTGCACCTGCTCCCCTCGCCCACCCGGGACCCATCCTTAGGCCCCGTTATGAACAGAGCTTTGATCTCTCAGAACGAAATGGCCTCCGGTTATTGCTCTGGCCAGTACAGCCATGTGTGCGTTCAGTCCTCAGGGATGAGCACTGTGAACACAACGGGGTCATCCGTGCGCACTTGGGCACATCACGCACACACGCAGACCTGGTCCCCAAAACTAGAATTGTCCTCAGTGGATCTGTCGTGTTGTAACCCGTAAGCAAAGGGTGAAGTGGCGAGCTAATGGCCAAGCTCAGGAACATCTGCTCGTACCATTCCTTCTCCTCTTCCTACTCAAGGCTGGGACAGGGGAGTGACCAGGACTGGATCTCAAGGCCCCCTTTGAATAGACACCCTTGGAGCTAACACTTTCCTGAGAGGCCTGTGCCACAGGCCAGCATAAAGTGAAGCAGAAAAGCACTTGGTACCATGCCCAGAACACAGTAGGTGCTCAGTTAATGCACATGCCTTTCTTTTTTAGCTGTGAGAGCTAGGGCTATCCTGCCTTTGCACCTGCTTTAGAAGCAAAGGCTGACCTTGAGTGAGGCCCTCGCCACCAGGGAAAGGAATATACTTAAGAAGGAATGGTTACCTGAGGCTGCGGCAGGGCCCAGCATCGCTGGCTCGGGCAGGCCCCCGCAGGCTGTCAGTGACCTTTCCCTAGAGCCATGTTCTCAGAATTGGCAGGAGCTATGCTTTATCTGCAACCCAGGTGAATTCCCAAGAAGGTCTACCTCTCCCCACACCTGACCCCAGTAGCTTAGCTTCTCCCCAGTCAGGATCAAAGGATGTAAACTGAATGTAGAAGAACTCTGAGAAGTTTTTATTTAGGAAAGAAAATATCATGAAGCCTCCTTTATCCCACACTGTTGGTATGGCCCCAGGAGCCTGGTATACAGTGAAAGGGGTGCTGGGGTCAGACCATTCAGTAGAGTCTCAGCTGGACTGTGTTCCAGCTGTGAGACCTTGTACAAACTAAGCTCTCGGAGCCTCACTTTCTTTGTAGGGGTGGTGAGGATTCAAACAGTCTGCAGGCAAGTGCTGAGGACTGCTCTATGCCAGGCACTGTTCTAAGACCCAGTGAGAACAAGACCCAGCCCCTGCCCTCACAGAAGGCAGTGAGCAGGGCACTGGAGGTGGACGTGGATGTGCCCATCACATCAGACTCCACCAGTTCCTCTCAGCAGGGCACTGATTATTGCTTTTATATGTCACTGTTGTTCTTTAGTTGCCAAGTCGTGTCCAACACTTTTGCAGCCCTGTAGACTGTAGCCCACCAGGCTCTCTGTCCATGGGATTTCCCAGGCAAGAATACTCGAGTGGGTTGCCATTTTCTTTCCAAGGGATCTTCCCAACCCAGATCAAACTCACATCTCCTGTGTTGGCAGGCGGATTCTTTACCACTGAGCCACCAGGAAAGCCCCTATGCTTCTTTACAAATGACTGCAAAGTGCTGTTGTACCATGAGAGCCTTGAGGTTTGCTGAGTGGGCGGAGTTCCTCACCCTTAAACTGAACGGCCCCGGACAACTACGCTTTTCTAGTTCTTCTGTCTCTTCCCTCTACTGTTGCCCCTTTTCTCTTTCCTTGGTGCATTTGCCTCTAGTAAAGATGGTTTCTTCTCTGTCACTTCTAGAAAAAAAATGAAAGATTCCAAGGCAACTTCCCATGTTGATTAAAGGAAGAACATTATTTTTTATCCTAGGCCAGAGGATGGCTCCAAAGATGCAGAGATTATACCTGTTTCAATTCATTTATCTGGTCTTCACAGTGGCCCTGTAGAATATGCTCTGACCTCCCATACCTGACCTACCCTTTGTCATAATGCCTAACCCTCTGAATTCTGACTGCTTGTTTCCTGGCCTCACTCCTCTAGACTGGAGCGTGTCAGCCTCAGTGAGTCCCCAGTGCCCCAGAGCTCCACCCGCAGCAGGCCTCCAGGAGAGTGTGTTGGATGGCTGCTTGTACGGTCAGGCTGGCTTCTGGGTGCCCTGAGAGATGCCAGGCAGTAGATGCAGTCTCACCTGGTGGCTCTCCCAGCAGGTGAACACTGAAACCGAGGTGTGAGAACAGTGCTCAGAGACCCCAGAGGAGGGAGCGCTGACTGCCAGGGGGAGAGGGTTCTGGAGAGACCTGGAAGAGGTGCCCAGCCTTACCGCTCCCTGACCACGCAGCCGCTGTTCCTTCCCAGGGCCGGCTGACAGATGGAAAAGGCAAGACCATCGACTGCAAGGACGCCATCTTCATCATGACCTCGAACGTGGCCAGTGACGAGATAGCACAGCATGCCCTGCAGCTGAGGCAGGAAGCTTTGGAGATGAGCCGTAACCGGATTGCCGAGAACCTTGGTATGGCACGTGGCCCACACTCTCTGGGCAAACAGTCAAGTGACACGGCTGCCACACCACTCTGGGGAAAAGGATGGCATTGCAGTCCCAGGGCAAGATGAGGGTCCTGGCTGGCATCTGTCCCTCACTGGCCCTGACCAGACACCAAGCACCCAACTGGGTAGTGGAGGGAGGCCAACAGACAGTGTCCCTACTTCCTCAAGAAAGCCCCAGGTCTCTCAGGTGACAGGAGGTCTCCAGACAGAAGGAGAGACAGAGCCACCCCAAGGTGTGGGGCCAGGAAGAGGCCAGGGTCTCAGGGGACTGAAAGGATGTGCACTTAACAGGGAGGGACACTTCAGTGCAGCAAGGGGATGGTAGGTCAGAAACCTGGAGGTGGGCACGGCCTTTTTCAGCCAGGGAGGCTTCCTGCACAGGTGGGCCCTGGAAAGTGCTGGAAAGGGGAGTGTGTCAGGGTGGACACTGTGTCTGTCAGCCCTCTGTCTAGGATTGAACTCTCAAGCCCCTTCTTACAAGTTGGGACTCAAGTCTCGGTCCTGACTCTTCTCCTTTCTCCTCCCCTCCTTCATACAATTCCTACCAAACGTGAGCACTGGAAGGGCCTGGAAAGTACGCAATCCAGCCCTCTGATTGTGCAGGTGATGAAAAGGCCAAAGCCCAGAGGGCCTGAGATGTTGACCAGGATCATGCAGACTGTCAGGGGCAAGACCAGGCTCTTTTCATGGAGCCACGGTGCAGCACAGCTCCCAAAGCTCCCAGGTGTAGGGAGCAGGCAGTTTATGTTTCTCTCTCCACAGGGGACGTCCAGATCAGTGACAAGATCACCATCTCAAAGAACTTCAAGGAAAACGTGATTCGCCCCATCCTAAAAGTAAGAGTTCCTTGTCCTTCTTGCTGGAGCCTCGAATTGGAGGGGATCACCTTAGCCATCGTGAAGATGTGGAAGCCCACCCGTATCTTACCCAGTAGGGTCTACTAATTCCTTTACCTACTCTGGGTCACTAAGCTCACCTTATCCCTAACCTGGCCCCACAGGCTCACTTCCGGAGAGATGAGTTTCTGGGACGAATCAATGAGATCGTCTACTTCCTCCCCTTCTGCCACTCGGAGCTCATCCAGCTCGTCAACAAGGAGTTGAATTTCTGGGCCAAGAGAGTAAGAGCAGGAACTGCCCATGGGTGGGGGCGGAACATCTGGAAAGCCCTGGGCCACATGCAGACATGCTGCTGTCTAACCTGTCCCAGGCAAAGCAAAGGCACAACATCACACTGCTCTGGGACCGCGAGGTGGCGGACGTGTTGGTCGAAGGCTACAACGTGCACTATGGCGCCCGCTCCATCAAGCATGAGGTGAGCCCTGAGAGAAGTGAGGCACCTCCACACCTCCTTCCCTGGTGCCCCTAGACCCATTTGCTGGGCTCCCAGCCTGTCCAGGCAGGCTGGGATTGTCCTTACCCAGAGCAGAACCAAAAACAATATAATCAAGTAAAACCCCTGTCCAAGAGGGTAAATGAGATTGAATCCCTACCAGCGTCAGGGAACTGGGGCTGGGAACCTCAGAACTGACAGTACTGACTTGTTAATACTGTCCTGCAAGCTCATGTTGTTAGCCCTTTGCAGATGAAAAAACTGAAGCTTTGAGTAAGTACTTGCCCAGGCAAGTGACAGAGCTGGGCCTCCAGGCTTTGGCAATGACGACAGCTTCCCGTACCGCCTGCAGGTGGAGCGCCGTGTGGTGAACCAGCTGGCGGCCGCCTATGAGCAGGACCTGCTGCCGGGGGGCTGCACCCTGCGCATCACTGTGGAGGACTCGGATAAGCAGCTGCTGAAGAGTCCTGAACTGCCCTCACCCCAGGCCGAGAGGCGTCCCCCCAAGCTGCGGCTGGAGATCATCGATAAGGACAGCAAGACCCACAAATTGGACATCCAGGCACCACTCCACCCTGAGAAGGTGTGCCACACCCTCTAGCGTCTACCTACCCGCCCATACGTGCCCTCAACACCTAATAAATCCCCCTTGGCTGTGGCATGGTGACCGACCTACCTTCCCCTCCTGCTTCTCACCCCTCTCCATCTAGCCTAAGACCTGTTACCTCCTCACAGCCCCTGGAAGATGCCTTCTCAGCCCCACCCTCACCCCTTCATTGTGGGCCCCACATGTGCTCTCAGGTCTCTGGGAGGGGAGCTGCTCCTCTGTCCGCTTTACAGCAGGGAGAAGAGGGAGGTCCCTCATCTCTGTCCTTCAGTGTTATCCTCATGTCGCAGAGCCTCTGGAACTTTATCATGTTTTCTGGAAACTCAGAAGTATGGCAGCTGAGAACAGATCTGGCTGGAACAAGACAGGGACCAGGCTGTGACCTGCTACCCTCTGCTGGCTCTCATGCTACTGAGTCCCCAGAATGTCTCCACAGGGAGCAGAGAAGTCAGAGGCCCAGACACAGAGCTTCTGCATTTAAGCCATTGCTTCCTCTTTCCCATGCCCTAGAATTCCAAGGGGAAGGGGCTCTCGGAACCCTTCCCCCTTCCACTGCCGTGTCATGGCTACTATTCCTCCCTGCCCCACATTCAGGGGTCAGACCAGACCACGTCTCTCCAGCCTTAGAACTAGACCAGCATAGGGCATCTTTAGGAAGAAGGCTGGATCCTACCCAACCCTACACAGGGCCTGGACAGAAGCACCAAATGACCAAGCAAGCTTAACTCTGCGAGGCCTCCTGCAGGAGACCAACAACATAGACAGTGGAGAACTGTAGGGGGAGGGATCCTGGGGTCAGGCTGTACGCAGATGGCCATGGAGTCTGCCTCAGCCCCATGTCCACAGTACCATGTGAACATGGGATGGACAGCTGCCTCATGCAGTCTGCACGTTAGTCACTAAACAGAGGGACTGCACACCATCCCCCAAGGCTCTCCACACACCAGGCGTGTTCAGCCTCAGCTTAATTAGCAGGGCACAGCAAGGCTTGGTACATACATCCTTGGGAACCATCTGCAGTAGCCACCATTGAGGACCATGCCATCAGCCTCCCCTGAAGGGTCGCTTTGGAAACCCTCCTTTGGAGTCAGAAAGTCTCTTCTAGGAAGCAGAAAATGGGGACAGGAATCACAGTCCCTCGGGTGACGGAGGAATGTCGTGACACGGCAGGTGGGGCACAGCCGGAAGCTGGAACTTGGGCTTCAGCAGATGCTGCAGCAGGCACCATCCAGCCCCTCAAGGAGCTGTCTGCCACTTTGTACCTCAGCGACTGCCACTCTTTGTTTATTTATTAGCAGCAGTTTTTTTTTTTTTTTTACTTCTTGTCCTGAAATAATTTTAGACTTACAGGAAATTACCACAATAGTAGAGTTCCATGCACCCTTCACCAACTTCACCAACCATCTGTTAAAAATTATTAAATTATAATTATTAAAACCAGGAAATTAACATGATATGGTACTACTAGCTAATCTCTAGGCATTCAGATTTGCCATTTTCCCCACTGATGTCCTCTTCCTGGTCCAGAATCCAGCCGAGGATCCCGTGTTGCATCTTGTTGTGTTTCCTTTATCTCCTTCAGCCTGTGACAGTTCTTCCATCCTTCTTTGCCTTTTATGACCTTGACACTTTTGAAACCTCCAGGTCAGTTAAATTTGTAGAATGTCCTTTAATTTGGGTTTGTCTGCTGTTTTCACATGCTTAGATTGAGGGTCACCATTTTGGGTAAAACTAGCCCTCAAGTGATGCTGTACCCATCCTTATAACCTAGAGCAGGTGATACATGCTGAGGTTGTGTATACCAGTTTTTCCACTGTAAGATTACTAATTTTCCCTTTGAAATGAATAAGAATCTCATGGAAAGATAGAAACTGTACAGATGTCTTATTTATCCATAAAATTTTGCCCGTTGATTTTAGCATCCATCATGTAAATGTAAACATGTTAGTCACTCAGTTGTGTCCAGCTCTTTGTGACTGTAACCCACCAGGCTCCTATGTCCTTGGGATTCTCCAAGCAAGAATACTGGAGTGGGTTGCCATTTCCTTCTCCAGGGGATGTTCCCAACCGGCTCTTGCTTTTAACAAACATTAATACTATATTTGCCTAATGATGACATTGTTTTCTTATTCCATCTGTATGTATTAATTGGTATTCTTCTGTAAGGAACAGCTGTCTCTTTTCTCCCATTTATTTATTCAATAATTTACCTATAAGTAAAACTAATGAATATTTGTTTTAGTCTATGGGTTGTAACCTATTAATAATACTAATAGAGTTTACTTCATTGCTCATATGGCCTAGATTTGGCCATTGGGAGCTCTTAAGTTGGCTCCTGTGTTCAGTGTTGCCGCATCATTTTTTTAGTATTACCCTATTTTCTGGCACCACAAGGTGTTCCAAGGTTACTTACACTTTTCTTGTCCCAGCCCTGACTTCAGCCATTCCTCTAAGCAACTCCTGATTCCTCTTATTTGAGAATGGTACTTAGAAACTAAGGTGGTATATTCAGTGCTTCTGGAGTGTCATTGCTTCTAGGCCTTTTTAGCACACAAAGCTAGGAAATAAATATATATGTATATGTTAACATATGTATCACACACAATTGAATTTATTATTGTATCTGTCCATCTGTATATTATTATAAACCATGAGTCCATATTGATGCCTACAGTTATAACCCAATACCACAGGGCCTGTGACTTACTGTTATTACTAGCACTTTACTGTTCATTCTCTGCTTCTTCCTCTCCTGCTATCTCTGTTTCTTCTCTCATTCTGTTTTCTGTTCAGACTCCCATAGAGGCTCTAATTAAGTCAGTCAGTGACCATCCTATATGGAGCACTCCTGTTGGTTAAAGTTCTTATGCCCGGCTGTCGGTCTCTTGGTTTAGTCAGCTGTGGCCAGGACCAGCAAACATGTAACTGAAAACCAGATAGCTTTTATACAGGAAAACCCAATGACCACCTTTCTGAGAAGAGAATAAGGGACAGAGTAGACCCTCCGATTCTGAGAAGCTTGAGGATCACTTCTAGAGACTCAGCTAGACCTTGTAGGTGATGTTGGACCCCTGCCTTATACTTTCGTAGCATCCTCGACAGTATTCAGCTCAGTTGCATTACTTGTTCTGTGTTTGCCTTTGTCATTAGAGTGTAAGATCCAGAAGGGCAGATACCCAATTCTACTCACTGTCCTGTTCATAGAAGTTGGCACAGAGCAATCACATGATGGCTGCTACAGGTGTTTGGATGGATGGGTGGGCCCTGCAGCAAGCACAGATCTTCACAGTGAGGCCCAGGACACAACAGTATCCTATGTTCATGGAGCGAACATCTGTCATGTGCTTGTGGCCAGGCAGCAGAACTTGAGTAGATAGGGCAAAGTAAGACCCCAGATACCTTACTGAGTATCTAGAAATACATGAGGCTGGACTTGGAAGTGAAATATCTTCATTGTTCAAAAGGAAAAATTCAAAGGTGCATAGTGATTGTTTTAGGAATTTAAAAAAAAAAAAAATTTTAAACCATAGGAGAAAAGATAAAACCTGAAGTTAAGTAGGAATGCAAAAAAAAAAAAGGATAAGTAGAAAATGATTCTTTTTGAAAACACCGATAAAATAGATAAAATCTTCTCAGCCTGATAAAGGGGAAAAGTAGAGGGGGACGAGATCAGACATAATCACATATATGGAAGAGTTTTACATAAAGACTTTAGGATAAGTCTGTAGCCACAATTTTGAAAACAGCAGATAGATCATTTCCTAGAAAATACTGACCCAAGATATAGTTTGAATAAGCCAATTAATTACCAAAAGAACCCAATAAACTGCCAAAAAAGAATGCCATAGCATAATCTCATTTATGACTATAGGTGCAAAAATTCCAAATAAAATTAAGTTGAACTTTACAACATGATTACATAAGGCTTATTTCAGCAATACAAGCTTCTATATCTGGAAATTTACTAATATAATCCAATATATTAATCTAAAGAACATGAATATTATTTAAATATAGATTAACATTTTCTTATTTTGGTAATATTTCTTAGGAAGATATCCTTGTTTTTAGAAAATATAACATTGAAATATTTAAAGATAAAGACAGTTGGCAAATGTTTCAAGAAACTAAATTATACACATACACACGCACATATGTATGTATACAAGTGTGTGTGCTAAGTTGTTCAGTCGTTTCCAACTCTTTGGAAACGACTATAGCCTGCCAGGCTCCTCTGTCCATGGAATTTTCCAGGCAAGAATACTAGAATGGGTTGCCATTCCCTTCACCGGGGGATCTTCCTGATCCAAGGATCAAACCCGAGTCTCCTGCATGGGCAGCCAGATTCTTTACCACAGAGCCACCTACACTCATTAAAAAATTACAGAATGATTAAACACAAGTCTTGTCATTGAGGAAATCTGAGTGAAGGGTATACAGGAATTCTTTGTATTGTTTCTGCAACTTTTCTGTAAGTCTAAAATTATTTCAGAATGAATTTTTTTTAATGAAAAACATTTTATCAGTATGTACTGAAAAAGCATTTGACAAAATTTTACAGCTTTAAGTATGATTTGATAAACCTCCAAGTAAAAGGAAAAGAAGCTGTTCATTGAAAACCAATAGTAAAGTCTGAAATAAGAGTCAACATTTGAAAATTCAGTTGAAAATAATTAGGCAAGAAAAGTGAATAATTGGTATATGTATTGGAAAATAATAAATTGTTTTGCTGATATGTGACTGTGTGTTTAGGAAATCTAAGAGGCTCTAAGTAAAACCTTTTAGCATTATTGTGGCAATTTGGTAAGTGTCTGAATAAAAGATAAATGTACAAAAATCAATAGCCTTTTTCTGTTCCAGCAGTAATCAACTAGAAACAACAACAAAAGTATTCCGTTAACAGTTGAAATAAATAGGTATATGTATTTGCTCATATATACATAAAGTAACTCTGGAAGAGAGAATAATTGGATCGAGAGGAAAGAGCAATGGAAGGGTAAATTAACTGTATTTTTTATAATTTTAAATTAAATTTTGAACCTTATTAATGTATTATCTGTTCACAGTTATAAAATACTAAGAATAAATTTAACAAAAAAGGAAAATCATAGAACATGATCTGACAAATGAAAAGACATATCAGATTCTTGGAAAGAACCTATATAATTAATATACAATTCAGAACTACTGTTTTCTGGGTCTAGGAGATAAGAGTAGTAGTCTGTCAGTTACTTCAATTCCATCTGGAGAGTGTGCAAACTAGAGGATAAGTAAATATAACTACTATCACTGTATACCCTAAATAGAATTATAAGAGAATGGGAAGAGATACGTTGGTATCTGTTTCTGGACTGCACGGCCTGTATGTGACTGGAGAAAAGGAGAAAGTGGTAGGAAATGCTAGAGAGGCAAGTATCCTGACTTCACAGTGCCTTGAATGCCATACTAAGGGAATGAAACAGCCATATTGGTATTTTTAAAAGAACCTTTTCATTGCAGTATGCAGAATGTTTTGGGGTGACTTCTAACCAATAGACAACAGAGTAGTCCTGGGCAAACTTCCTTCCCACATCAAATATAGAAATATTGAATATTATGTAGCCAAAAAAATTTTTGACACACAACTGAACTTGAAACTGAAAATGGGAAGTCCCAAGGTGCCAGAAATGAACGGGAACCCAAAAGTCAGAGGATGTGTGAGAGTCAAGGTCAAAGAGTTCATTGA